TAAAAAAAATATAAAAAACAAAATAGAGTCATAAAAAAATCAAAGAGCAGGTCCTACCCTGAGCGCGTAGCGCAATAGTCCTCAAAAACAGATGCGATTTGCAATTTTGTCGATTCTAAGCGTAGCGCGCGCAAGTCGAGGCGATCCGATCGCTGTGCATGACCGTACCTGTTTATAATTTTTAATTATTTTTATTTTAAATATTTTGAAAAAATGAAATCTGCGAATCGGTCTCAAATTATGCGAACTACCACCCCTACAAATTTGGACGCCAAGTTCGGAAACACCCTGTATATCAAGAAAAAAAACTGGTCCTAAAACAGAACCTTGTGGAACTCCATGTGTTAATTTGGACCTGTTCGAAATTCTTTACAGCTTGTGTTCGATTTGATTAGTAACTTTTTAACCAATTTAGTGTTAAATTTCGGAAACCGTACATGTACAATCTTTCCAAACGTATGTTGTCTGACACAATCAAGGGTTTTTGAAAAGACGCAAAAGACAGCCAGTAACACATCCCCTTGATTTAATAGAGAAAATATAGCATCCATGGTGTTCTTTGACGCTTGGAATATGAACTGACCAGTAGATAAAATTATGTTTTGCAACAAATTTAACAATTCGATTCTTTCTTGTTTGTTATGAAATGATCTATCAATTACGCTGCAGAAGAAGTATGTGATCATTGTATTACATAACATCGTAAAATCGACATGCTCGGACATCATGCAGTAGAAAACGCAGCATTTCCGTGAATTTTCGCGTAGGAATAGTGTGATAGACTCATACCACTTACGAAGTTTTAAATATGTGGTAATCAAGCAAAGCAAGGGTGGGCTATGTGAATCAGTAGCGCCATGTGACCTCACAAGATCATGAGGCAGGCTATAATATACTATTATTTCGAATAAAATTAAATTCTCTAATAAGTTAGTCATAAAATATCCAGCAAGAACTGACAAAGTATAGAGGACTTTTGCCTGAAAAGGAAGGGCTTAAAAGGATTATGTTAAAAAGGTAATAAAAATGAACAATTTTAATTCTGACTTCAAACATGAAGCAGTTGCAAAAAAAAAAAATATTACCATTTTGGCCCTGTTGCTTAATATTACGAATATACGTACTTTTTTCTATGTTTCAGTCAAAGAATCACTCTATCTTGCTTCCTCTTATTTAAATAACTAACTTATTGAGGCTAGTCTCGTTCACTTTTTAGTATATATAAGCCATACGATTGACTGTGGTGGGTACATAATTACAAATGGGTATTATTATAATTTTGCTATATTTGAATCGAAATAGTAGGCACATTATAATATTTTGGAAAGTTAATAATAATAGAACTATAGATGAACATTTTTGATGAGGCATTGCCTCATATAACAAGCCGCCACCGATGTGAATGTGGTGTCAGAACAGACAGAAATGTTTTGAGATGCAGCAATCATTAAAATAAACATAGATTAAAATTGTTAAGTTGAGTAGATCATCCAGATTTCTTGACAGAAACAGACTTTGCTTAAAATGGACTTGTGATACGTTAGATTTTAGTGGACAATGATGGTTGCTGAGTTGAAATTCAATTATCAATCAACCAAATTATTGAATATCATTTTGTACTGGTTGTTAAAGATGAACCAAAATGCCTTTTCTATGTTATATATTTCATAAAATTATCTAACTGTATGAATTTAGGTGCTTGTAATTCAAATCTACCATCTCCAAAAGATTATGTAATGAAATTGACACAATTTTTTAACAGTTGCAGCTGTTGCTTTATTTTTATTATTGATAACATTTAATAAATATGTTTTAAGCTAAATATTGCAATTCAAAAACAAATTTATTATTTTTTTATATAATTTAATTCTACTGAAGTAAAAAATAATTCTTTATAACATAAATGATGGCATTAAACAGGGGATATGGGGGATCAAAACATTTTAAAAGTTACTGAATGAAATAAATCCCAATTAATGAACTAATTTCCTTTGTACTTTCAACTACCTATATATAATTATAGTAATTAGAGATGTTTATAATTTTTTAATCTTTAGTAACAATGTGTAAAAAGTACGCTTATATTTTGTAAAATATTTCCATAAAAAAATACTCTTAATTATTGTAAACTTACAGTGTATGTTTATCTTATATAGGTAGTTACCTGTTTCCAAAAATATGTGTACATTATGTAAATACCTAAATTTATGATTTGGGCAAGAGTAAATTAATAAACTGGAGAAAATATTTGCCGTTTTATTTTTAAATGTAACGTTTTTTTAGGAGTTAATTCTACAGGTAGGAATTCAGATAGATTATGGCACAAGTATAGCCAACACATAGCTAAATTGTATTCTTTCTTCCTTTCACTCACTTTGGCTTAATAAATACAAACTTAAGTATCTGTAATGTGTGGAGGGAGGGTTACCCCACGGCACTTAGGCCTCATTAGGCCCATTGTGCATCCTCCTGAGAAGATAGACACCTAGCTCGTGAGCCAGCCTACAGAATTAATGTAGTTGACAACGTCGCCAAGAGGTGCTTCTCTTATATCGGCCGGTTTTAGCCGATACTCGCCGAACACAAATCTTCTAATAAATGAGAGCGTCGAGCAATCGTAAAGGATATGCTCGATGGTCTCATCTTCTGGTTCGCACCCTCTGCAGAGTGCGGATTCTGACAGCCCCATGATATGGAGATGCTTTCGGACTTGGCAATGACCAGTCAGAATGCCTGTAACTAGGTGCAGATTCTGTCTAGTCATAGTCAAGTATTTGTTTGCTGCAGTGTTGTCAGGATAACTTAAGAGCTCCCTGGCAACTGCAGTTTGTTGTTTCATCCCATTTTTCCTTGAATTTCACAAGGGAATGTTCTTTTATTAGGTCTGTCACTGCCGATTTTGTCAGGCCAATAGAAGGGCCAGGTCCAAAAAGTATTTGGTTGGCTGCTTTCTTGGCTAGTGCATTAGAAAGACGGTTACCTTTCGATGTGGCGTGACCTTTAATCCATCTTAAAGTGACCACGTTGTTGATGGATACTTCGGCCGAAGCTTCGTGACATTCTAGTACTAACTCTGAATAAATTCGTGTTCTGTTCAGGGTGAGTAGTGCTTAATCTGCTATCTGTATAAATGAGCGTGTTCCTTCCAGTGATATTGTTTCTGATTATTTCTTTTGCTGCTATGAGAATCCCCGTTAGCTCTGTTTGAACTACACTGGCATTATTGCTCACTGTTCATTTTATGTTTAGGTTTAAGTATCTGGAGTATATTCCACATCCTGAGCCTTGTTTTGTTTTACAACCGTCGGTGTAGATATGAATCGTACCTGCCACTTCTGGCTCTTCTATTTGTTCTATTATAACTTTATATGGCTTATGAAATATATATTTTGGTGAGATGGAGTCCATGTTCGCTTGAAGCAGTGGGAGCGTATCCAGCGCCTTCTGCCAAAAGTGACGTCTCGCCTCACCAGATCCTACATCAGGTTCTATTCTGACCGTGCGGAGGCGTGTCATTGTCGTCAGAGCAACCTCCTTGATGTAAGTATCAAGGAGAGTGAGACTAAGAATGACTTCCATGGCTCTAGTCGGTGTTGTTTTCATGGCTCCTGTTATGTTGAGACATGCTGTTCTTTGAATTTGTTCTAGTTTACGGATAGCTGTTAATTTTTGGGTTTTCGGTACCCAGACAACTGCACCGTATGTTAACATAGGTCTTATGATAGCCGTGTAAGTTCATGCGGCGACTCTGGGGGAGAAACCCCAGGTGCGCCCCACGGTTCGGCGGCATAGTTCATAAGCAATGTATGATCTTCTAACTCTGTTTTTCAAATGCGAGTTCCATGTTAACTTGCTGTCAAAGGTGAGACCTAGGTACTTTCACCTCTGTTGCAAAGTTTAGTTTTGTGTTCTGGAGGTTTTAATTCCATTTTCAACCTTTTCCTTGTGAAAAGGACCATTTCTGTCTTCTTAGGATTGATAGACAGTGAATGGTCCTTGCACCACTGTTCTATAATTTTTAGAGATACTTGCATTCTTTTGCAGAGTATGTTCTCAAAATTCCTTGTTTGCAGAATGACCAGGTCATCTGCATATGCTATTGTGGGGTGACTGTCATTATTGAGGCGGCTGATGTGGGTGTCGAGGACCATATTCCACAGTAGAGGTGATAGCACCCCTCCCTGTGGACATTCCCTCGCAACCAAGCCTCTTATATTCACATCTTCTACACTTATGTTTACTGCTCGCTTTGAGAGCATGTTATATGTATTCACCCACTAACCATTTGTGGAACATTCCGATTGGTTAGTGAGTGTATTATATCTTTGGGAAGGTGGTTTTATCGAAAGCACCTTCTATGTCTATGAAAACACTCAAACTTAAGTAAAAAATTAATGTTTTGCTAAGCAAAGATCTATAGCTGAACTTTTCAAACTCCTTTTTTCTATTGAATTGATAGGTATAATAAACATTAAATTTCTAGCTTCGATTCATCTAAATAGTGGCGTAGCATAGGAGCGTACCTGCTACAGGCGACACTTTGATAACAGGCGGCAGATTTTTGAAAAAATTACTAATTAAAGGTATTAACATATAGGGTCCACAGTATTTCATAAGGACATTATGTAACTTAATATCCAAAATTGACAAACTTTTCATTAAATTCCAATAAAACAGTTTACTCAGCTTACATTAGATCAATATTGGAATATGGGTTACCAATTTGGTCTCAATTTTATGATGTACATAGTAGATCAAGGCGAATTTCTGAGATATTGTACATTCAACTATGATTGTTTTATTAAACTTAATGGGCCTTGAATGTCTAGATTTTGAAGGGGTACATGTAGACACCATGTAGGTGCAGTAGTGTATACTGCATCTAAAGCAAACATAGAAGCAATTATTTTAAAAATTTGACTTTTAAATGAAGTGTATTTTAAAATATCAAACAATCCAATTATTAAAATTATATAAATATATTTTTTATATCATATTGGGGGTGTTTTAAAAATTAATACAAAGTAGCTATTACTAACATTGTTTTTTAATGAGAGTTATTTTTCAAAAAACATGAAATGTGGGTTTCCTAAAGGTAAATATTTATTTAAAAACAGATCTACAAAATGATAATGCATTATTAATCACTCGGCTTCTTGACTATCCTTGGTTTCAAGCATATCTTCTTTAGAATCATTTGTACTTTCATTGTTATCTGTTGTTTCCATTGGAGTTTCTTTGTTCTCATGCTCTTCATCAGAATGTTCACTATGTTCTGAAGAAGATTGTCTATCTTGAGACTTTTCTGATTTTTTCTTTTTTTTCTGCTTTTTCTTAAGTCGTTTCAATCGTTTTTTCTCAGTTTGTTGTTCAGCTAATTTTTGATACTCTTCTAATTTCTTATGGTAATCATCATCTAGCTTGTCCTAAAATTGAAAAATATTTCTATCAACTCTATAATAAATGTGCAGACTCCAAATTTAAAGATAAATATATGTATTATACCCGTTCTGCTTTTTCCTGCATAAATTTCTGTCTAGCATACTCTTTGCGGCGAAGATGTCTATATACATGGAATTCTCCTGAACCAGCCCCTGCACTTGATCCCATAACATTTCTAACAAAGTCTGGAACATTGGGAATACCTCTTTCTTTTGGTCTTTCAGGAATAATAATAGGTTTGTCCTAAAAAATATTTTAACTTAATTTCTATACCTATTCCATGTTACTATTTTTGCTTACTGGGTTTTTCATTAATTTTGATAACTTTAATCTTTGTAAATCGGCATTGTTTTTAATAACTATTTTAGTATCTTCCGATTCATCCTTATCCTTATTTTCACTCATGGTAAAAAAATAAAAATCAAATCACATACATACCAAAATGTAAATAAATTGACTGGGCTGTTTCTTCTACTTTTTTAATTTAAAATAACTTTCACCTCTTAAGACAGGTATGCTTCCACTGATTATAAGGTGTTTTCGCGCACCGTATAAAAATAGCTGTGGTTTTGAGGAAAACACTGAAATAAACAGAAAAAACAAGAAAAATGATTCATTCGTGAGCTTCTTTAATTTATAGTCAAAAAATGCAACAAAAATATTCTAAAATGTTTACATTTGTCCTATTAAGTACAGACCATAGGTTGACTCATTCAAGACTTTTAGGTGGATAATAAATTTTTAAACTATTTTTATTGTTTTTAAAGAGCAATGTTAAGTTATTTAAAAATTCTAATAATAAATTATATAGTCAAATATCATAATTATCGTAAAATTATAAACCTATTTTAAAAGTAAACGAGAACATTCAAATTTAAATTTAGGGAAATCTAGAATTCAGTTGGCGTTACTGATCGATTAGTCAGTTAAAAAATGGTTAAAATTTCATATTTCATGCGCATTGTATTCGTGTAGTCTGTGGCAGAAAGTGGTGTTGGTGTTTCTCCATTTCTGGTTTAAATACGTAGACTAATCTTATTTGTGATATCGTGCAATAGTTTTAAATACCTTCGGAGGGAGTGTAAGTACCATCTTTATTACAGACCTGTCTCATACAAAACATTAAATGAGAGAAACATTTCAGCATAATGTTAGAAAATATTCTCGCAAAATGGCCGATATCGATTTTATCTTTAGGCACAAAAATTACAGACTGCACGGTAAAGGAACTCGAAAATTTCTTATAAATACTAAGGACAATACATTGGTTTTTTACTGTAATCGAAAAACTGCAATAACTTCTTAACGTTGCTTTAAAATGTTTAAAGACGATTTGTTACAGTTTGACAGTTAACTTTATCAGCCAACCTGCCTACACATACTTATTTGTTGTTCTTTAACCTTTGAATAATTAATTAGAATTATAATTAGTATCAAATTATTAGTATCTATTAAATGTTATTGAAGAATACATCTTCCTTTATGACACATTAGAAGTCAATGTCACATAAAAATACATTGAGATTAATCCTACTTATAATCGAAACTGATAAAATCAACACAGTGCAAATATTTAAATGGTTAGCTATTGAATGTAATACCATTTGCCAAAATAATAATTTTTGTTTTCTCTTGGCACAAACTAAATATTAAGTCATAATTACCAAGTTTTACTAATGGATCTAATTGAGAGTTAAGACGTGGAAGTTTATTATTTTACCTATAATTACGTAAAGTAGCTTGTATTTTGAATAGATTATAGGTAGATTTTAAACCAAATGGTTATTAATAAAATCAAATATATTAGTCATTGTTGTTGTGATTCTTAATATGTCGTATTCTCTTATTTCAGACAAGTTCTGAAATATTAGAAAATAAAATATTGATGTTTTGATCTAAGTAGGGCTACTAAGAACAATTATTGTGGTTCTAGAAAGATACAAAAATTACCTATATTTTTTTAATGTTATTGAGACCAAATACTGATATTAATGTCAGTGGTAGTAGCTATATTGGTTAAAATGTTAAAATTGTTTTAACTAAGTAGTAATGCAATAGTCAACATGATAATAATTGTTTTCTGGTAGATGATTTAATAGCAAATATAAATTGTTTTACTAGTACAAATGGTTTTCGAATATTTTCTCATTCATTAAATTTGTGGAGCAATATTTTGAATGTGTTTTAAAGGAAAACAATTATAAATAATTAGATAATACTAGGTATGTTTAAATAATAAAAGAATGTAGTGCTATTTTTATCATAATTGTTTAATTATAAATATTTCCATAAGGGGACAAGCTAAAATATAATAAAATGGAATTTATAAAAGTCTAAAATATTGGTAAAGGAATGAATATAGGTAATTAAAATATTGATTATTTTGACATTTTAAGCTGAGATAATTGTCATTACCAGGGCTAATTAGCTACTTAATTCATGAATTCTTTTAATTAAAAATTATGTCTAAGATTATGTTTAGGTAGGTACTAGGTAATTGTAAGTAGGTGGATGTAAAATAAATATTTTACCTCGTATTTTACATTGTTTACTTATATTTAGTCACTAAGATTATTTTTTGTTTATTTAAACAAAAATTAAACAACTAAGTAGAGATGGATTGCGATTTCACTGTAGCAGCTTTTGACACTGGAGAAAAGTGCTTCACACTTGACAGAAAAGGTGTAATAATATTCTAGTTTTATATGGAATTCCTTGAAGATTATTTACCCAGTAATATAATAAATAAAACTATAATAAATGTTTAAATTTAAAATAAAAAGAAAAGGTCTTCCCAAATGAACGCCTTATTTTTATATTGTTATTTTTACATTTATATACATAAAAATATAGAAAAAATCATGATGTAAATAACTAGGTAGGTACTAGGCAATTGAGTAGGTGGATGTAAAATAAATATTTTACATTGTTTACTTATATTTAGTCACTAAGGTTATGTTTTGTTTATTTTACAAATTTAAACAACTAGAGATCGATTCTGATTTCTCTGTAGCAGCTTTTGTCACTGCTTTTCACTTGTCACTGGAGCAAAGTGCTTCACACCTGACAGAAAAGGTATATTAATATTCTTCTAGTTTATATGGAATCCTTGAAGAATATTTACCCAGTTAAAACTACAATAAATTTTTAAATTGAAATTAAAAAGAAAAATGAATGCCTTATTTTTACATTTATATACATAAAAAATGTAGAAAAAAATCATGATGTAAATAACACAATGTTATTTACATGAAAAAAAGAAACAAAAGTGAACCTGTGACCTTCTAAAAGTATTCTTTATAATAAATTAATTACTTTAGATAGAAATATATTACTGAACATAGATAGTCATAACAAACTTATCACCATGTGTGAATATGAAATATTTTAAAAATGTTCCGAAAAATAGCAGTAATTTGTCACTGCTTCTTAAAAATCACTTGTTTTACCAACTTCTACAGGGTGTTTTAAGAAGGTATGTCATAAATTCTTCCTCAGATAGATTACCAAAAAATAAGTGGATTTGGCTATATTTACCTATATCAAAGACTGGCTTCCAACAAAGTTACAGGGCGTTAAACTAACATTCAGAAAAATGTTTTTTTTTTTTTGTAAAAAGTTTGCTGTTGCGATTTTTTCTTTGAAATTTTTGCCAGTGTTGTAGAATTAAAGGCCCAATATTCTAAGGAAAAAAAATTAAAGCGACCCCTTTAAAAAAGTGAGTTGGGGGGGTACCTTTTAACCCCCCCCCCTTGCTTTATCGATCTTAAAATCAAAAAGAACTATGCATTTTGATTTTTTTTTTTATAGCAAAATAAACTTTGTATCTTTCTTAGCTATTTACATTTTTTTAACTGCATTTCTAGAGCAATTCGTCCGTCTTGGATTTAATATATCAACAAAACTAAGAGTAGGTCAGGAGTTATTGTACAAAAAACGCATATAAAAATCAGTGGTGTGCCTAGGGCTGTGCTTGAGCCGCCCCTGCAAAAACTACCACTTTTATTTATATTTTTCTAAAAAAGGTATTTATAATATTGGATTGGCGCCATAAAAATGGTGTGCCACCTGTCCTCATGGGTTCACCATGCCACTGTTAAAAATACACATTAGTTTGGAAATGTATTTATTAAATTTAATAGTAATTAAAAAAAAAATAAACAATTAATAATTAAAATTAAACACTGGACAATAATTATTACACATATTTCATAAACTATTTAATTTTGTAAATGGTCAACATGTCCGCCTCCTTCTTGAATAAAAAAATATAAATAAAAGAGGTAGTTTTTGCAGGGGCGGCTCAAGCACAGCCCTAGACACAACACTGATTTTTATTGTTCGTTTATAGTTTTGTTGATATGTTAAGTCCAGGACAGACGAATTGTTCTAGAAATTCAGTTAAAAAATTGTAACTAAGAAAGATAAAAAGTTCATTTCACTATAAAAAAAAATTAAAAATTCATAGTTCTTTTTGATTTTAAGATCGATAAAGCAAGTTTCTTTATGTCAAAAAAAAATACGGGGGGTTAAAACTTTTTTTAAGGGGGTCGCTTTAATTTTTTTTTCTCCTTAGAATATTGGGCCTTCAAATCTGCAGTACTGGCAAAAAATTCAAAGAAAAAATGACAACAGTAAATTTTTTACAAAAAATAAACGTTTTTTTTTTATATTAGTTTAACTTTGTTAGGAGCCAGTTTTTGATATAGGTAAATACAGCCAAATCCACTTATTTTTTGGTAATCTATCTGAGGAAGAATTTATGACATACCTTTATGAAACACCCTGTATAACTAGGTATATACCTACCTTCTAAATTATGCAAATATTAAATTCATATTTGTCAATGAATGCTATTAATACCAGACAAAAATTTTACAATTTGGTGAAGGCATGGCCCCCATGCCACCCCCCGGAGCCGCCCTTGTCATGAACAAAAATATAATAAATATGATGCAGACTTTAAGTGCGACATTGTATATTTAAATTAAATGGCTTTTTGAAAATGATGGAGATTATGTTGCCCCAGAAGAAATGTAATAAAATTATAATTCTTTTTTTAATTACTTACAATAAGAGGATACCATCAACTTGAGAAAATGTTGTTGAAGAATTAACCTTTGTAATATCCTGCTGTGATTTTTAATATTCTAGGGTAATACCACAAGAGGTGGGAATATTTTGAGATCATTTTGTTGTTTAAAAAATATCACCTCGCGTGGTATTTGGAAAGATTAATTAACAATATAAACATAACTTTTATAAATATTTTTTTTGTTTCTGTAAGATGAAGTCGAAAGTGATGTTGATCTTTATTTACAATGTATATTTGAACAACCAAAACGATTTTTATCCATTTTTCGTCATCTCTTTGAAAATTTCATATGGAATTTTGAAATAAATATTGAAAATAAGATTATTAAAAAGCTGAACATGTAGTGGTTAGTGCTCATAATATTGACAAGGGGTAGCCATGTGTGAGTTGAAGATAAATATAGAGGCAAAGAAAGAATAGTACTTAGTATCTCACGAGATATTTATTTATTAATAAAAATTTTGAAGTCTATAAAAAAAACGTATTTGGAACTAACGAAGGCTGGTTTATCAGCCCCATTTGATATTCTATACATCTTGTCTCATTTGGATGATAGAAGAATAACCAGCCTTTCCAAATTTTTAAATTTATTTAAAATCACTATCTAGTATAAGAAAATCAACTATATTTGGGTAAATTGTTCGCAGTAACATAGCCCAAAAAAAGAAAAGAAGAAAGTAAAAATTATCTCTGAACAAAACTATACAATACGCCTCAACTCTGTATTTTTTTTCTTATATGCACCCATTTCTTTTGCTGGAACTTGAAACGGCGCCAAAGTTATTTTTTTTTTAGATGCACTTTTCCGTCTCACCAGCTTCACGCGAGTTTCTAAAATTGTTACGTCTGCGTGTGTATGTTTAGCTTGCATTTAAAAATATTTTTCGTTTTAGTAGGCAAGACGAGTTACGAGGAAATAAATAGAAAATAGAAATGGAGGTCGCAGTTTGTTGTTACCTTAGAGTTTGATGATCTCGCAAAATATATAAACGTCATCAAATCGCAAAAAAAATTAATATTTAATGGAGATTTTTGATGCATCTTGTAGATTTGTTTGTTTCATAATCCTTGAGATTATTTTTGCACCATATGTTGAACACGTTTTGTTTAAGAAACGAGTTTATTTTTTAAGATGGAAGACAGCATTTTTCATCAGTTTCAAGTTTCATTTTGTAGATAATATTTTAAGTTTACAAAATGCTAATATCAAATTTTTATTACGTGAATAAAGTCCGAAAATAAACAGACAATATTGATAGTGAATTACCTGCCTGTCAGTTTTATTTGATTGAATTAATAGATTACAAATTAACGAATAACAAATATTCTTGATTTTTAATTCAACGTTTTTTTACGTAACCTTGAAGCCTACATACATGGTGAGTTGCAGTGTGTTTCTTTAAAACTAAGTAGGTGGATGGGTCATACGTTTATGAAGTTAAGACGCGTAATTACAAATGACACGGTTATAAATTTTCTTAATATATATTAAAAAATCTATAATAGATACTCTTCTTTGTTGTAAAATTCGAATAAACGCAGCCAATTGGGGTTTATTTGTTGCTTTTATGGATCTACGTCTATCTAGGTAAAACTGAAGGAAGTATGTTGCTTAAAAAAGATCTACAGTGTATTAAACTGTGAATGGATAGTAGCTTTTATATATTCACATTCTTTTTCATCAATTTTAAATTTTAAGTTAATTTTACACATTTAGTCTAGAAAATTTTTTTTGTTTCTACTATGGAGAGAAAATAGAGATATAGGATATATGTTTATTGTCAAAGTTAAAATATTAACAAGCACAATGTGGTATTAAAAAAAAATAAATGATTCTTTAAAATAAAAATATACATTATTCTAAATTAACAAACACATACTTAATCTAAATAAAATACAAACTAATCTGTGTGCTTCACATACGAATCTCATTGCCCGTTTTTGCATCAAGAAAATATAAATGAAACCTACATTTATATGGAAATACTAAACACCTATCAATATCTCGAATAAAAGAAAAATGAGAATTCCCCATTGTGAATCCTTGGAAAATTTCATCATAATTTTTTTAAGCCTAAGGCAGTTATTAAATAGTTTTAATTTACTGTTGATAATATAGTAAATAGATATACAATAGTTTTCCACATACGTATAATTATTTATATACAGTACAAAAGTAACGGATCTAGCACTGGTATACCGGTTAGATACAAATTTGACGTCAGTGTTATCTATACATTTTTACAAAATTGAAGATAAAAAATAAAAACAACATTGGTCCTAGAACCGAACTCTAAGACACATCTTACCACAGTGGGACACTATCATAATAAATCGAGTTATTGATACCACCGTATAGAAAAAAAAAAATGTTTATTTTTTTGTTCTAATGCGCAATTAGGTCGTTGTAGGAAGTATTTTGTGTAATTATTTAAAAAAAATCATTTGAATTAGCTGTTATGGTCGAAAAAAAATTAAACGTCAATATCTCGGTTTCAACCGTCTACAAATTTGTATAAAAAAATCTTTTAAGAAAAAATATACCTCTCGTTTGACGAAAAACGAAGGCCTAAATGAAAAAACTATTCTTCATAAAAGTTTTGCCTATATATTGACAAGGTACTTTTAAATTAACAAAAATATAGTAATAAACAATTAGTGATGTCATGGAAGCAAACATTGAAGGCAGAGACTCTCGACTATCTATGCGTCTCTCTCAGTATTGAAATGTATGCAATCAGTTTGACTCTCTTATGTTATTTTATACAGGGATTATTGATTTATCCGCTATGAATAATAGGGTGTATTAATTACTGCAAGATTTTTTAAATTTTTTGAGGAAAATAAAAAATAGGAAAATATAAACTGTTTATTGAAGGTATAAACACAGTATATATAAGTATCGATTATAAACAGTAAGGCTATTGCTTTGCAAAATACAATAAATCCCCAATATAAAAAAAAATATAATAATAATTAGAAGTATATAAAGCATAAATTAATAATATTAAAATTTATAAGTACAAGACTTTCAAACTAATCAGAATCAGATTCACCACACGAATCAACATTTTCCAAAACAGAGCTGTGGTCAAATTATTTCTGCAGTTTTTCTGTGCCATACAGATGCAGGAACCGATACAGCCTGCGTTTGCAAATTTTGCTTCCACAGTCTAGAACAGAATAATATTGTTAGAATATTGTATATTATACATCTATGAAAATTATCGGTGTATAGTACCTTTTTTGTATTTGCATGTTGTAAGTTCTGTTATGTCTGGTGGCAGGTCAGGCAGAGTCTTAAGAATGGGTATCAGACTTCCATCTTGATCTACTTTCCATCCATACTCTTCAACATTAGGAAGCTGCATCTGCGGCTTTAAAGAGCTTAGTCAAATATTTAGCTGATAAAAACATCTTAAACAATGTAGTCTTAGGGCGTCTTCAGTCGGTGGCAATCCAGCAATGGTTTTTGGAGAGGCCATTAATTCCTTCAATATGTTAATGGAAGTAACATTGGCAGTTTTAGATTAGAGAATATGTTTTCAGAGTACTGATCAGTGCCAAATCCATCCAAAAAGATGATGGTGTTCAAGGTAGGTTTTCCAACAGGTTCTTTTCCCAATGCCAGGCAATTGGCTGGTTGTATCACAACCGGTCAGAGAATAAAAAGTAAGCAAATTTTTAGAAGGTTTTCATCCAAATTTAAATCATGTACTGTTAGAAATCGTGTTGAGTCTCCTCGTCCTGTTCTGAATCATATATCTTTAGTCAAAAACTTCTTAAAATAAATTAATAAGACTACAACATCTGTATCGTTGCAATCAATAATGCAGCGCGAATGCCATACGAGTATCAGCTTCTTCGTGATTTAAATGGTTCAAAATTCGTCCCATATTTATTGATATTCGCGTAACCACCACTAGTAACAAATTGAATATGCTTTTGCTGAATGGAATTTTGAAGAAAAATGACAGAAAATTTGTTAAACATTTTTTGTTAAATATCGAATGAATAAAGAATGTCCATTGTTGCGGAAGTGGAATATTCAATTTCTATATCAATTGATTTCTGGGATCCTCTCTTTTGACGTGTTGTATTTTTGATACAATGTTCTTTATAATGATCAAATACCACATCTATCCTTTGAGTATTAACTTTATTTCGACAAATAATATTTACAAATATATTAGCATATTCTTTAAATGATATGCAACTTTTGGGCTTCCCTATTTTGATATCATTTTTGTCTTTGCTTCTTGCAACAACATTTTAAACGAAAACTTATAACTTACCAAAATATATTCAGCTGCAACAGGATGAATGTAGTAATATAAAGACGCAAAAATGTCTATATTTCTTCCTAATTTATTTGGTACTTTAATATGTAACACATACACTTATTAATTCTTATGTAAAAACAGATAACAATATGACACATTGCCTATTGGCACCTAACGAGAAGTTTTATAATAAATTAAAAAATCCTACCATATCAATAATGTGGTACATCAGCCGGCACGTAGATAGAAACAGAGCTATCCTACGTTTAAAGGCGAAGAGAAAGATACACTGAGAGTCGATGAAATTGGCGGTGAGAATTAATTACAGCGTAAACCTATGACATCTCTCATTGTTTATTGTTATATCTTTGTTAATTCAAAAGCAAAAATATGGTGTTTACTCTGTTACCTTGTCAAAACATAAGCAAAAATTTTATAACAAATATTTTCATTTAGGCCTTCCTTTTTTGTTACATGAGTGGTATATTTAAAAAAGACGACTTTTTAACCTAATTTTTGAAGGGCTGAAATCGAGATATTTACGTTTATATTTTTTTTTCGGCCGTAAGGGCTAATGCAAATTATTTTTTAAATAAGTATAAACAATTACTCCCTACAAAGATTTTATTGTGCATTGGACCAAAAAATGAGTATTTTTTTCTATATTCTGTGGTATTAATATCTAGATTTTTGATGATATTGCCCCTCTGCACAGTCTAATTTTGTATTACCTCCGGAATAAGGGTTACCTTATCATGACCTTTTATCTCTGAAAAATTCAGCTTGTAACAAAAGAGTGGAAGATAAATCGTTTTCTAGAGCGAATATTTTAATGCATACATTCTACTAGTATTTATTTATATTTGTAAATTCATAAGAAAAATGAAATTGTGAAAAAGAGTAATAAAATGTGAAAATTTTCACTGTATTTACTATAGTTACACTTTCTTTTGTTTCAGGTAATGCTATAGGGGATTTACAAGTCAGCTTCGGAACATTATCATGAAAATGGTCCTATCCCAACGCCAGCGAGAAGAGCTGTAAGTTATTGGCATTTTATTAACAAACACTTTCATTCTACAAAATAAAATAGGGAATAATCAAACGTAAACAAAATTAATTTAAAAAGGCCTTTAGACAGAAATTTGAATGGAGTAATAGTCGTAGATAAAGTATTTGCTTTCATCAGTTTGATTTATTAAGAAATTGATAAATAACAAGAAAATTAGTGAGCCCAGCACCTCTTGGGTAAATATTTTGACTTCTTTAACTTCAACATGTTTTTACTGAAAAGGATTATCCAGTGCAAGACAATTCCCAAAATCAAATATTAATTTTTATATACAGTAACATTTTCAGTTGGGATACCTCCTCGTATATTGTGATTTGTCATTCACTATTTAAGATATACTTTAAAAGTGTTTTTCTAAAAATATTTGTAAATTAAAGGAAATCAAATAAAGTTTAAATTTGAGGTTAGGAAACAAAGCGTAAACAAAACTATCGTTCAGCGTCAGCTCAACCGATTATAAAACGTCTTCTGTGATTCTTAAAAGGTGTTTTACGACGATGAAAACGGCCATTAACAAATTGTTAATAATTTTTCTGGAAAACATTTATTAAATCGATGTTAAAGAATGTACTAAAATTAAATCGTGAAATTTCGCCAAACTTTATTGAACATTCATTATAATGACGTTTCGAGTATGAATGCATTTATTTTTGTAAACACAAATCTACATTTATTATAGCTGCCCTAAAAACGGAACATTAACCGGAAAAAGAAGACCGATAACTGCACAAAAAAATGAGCCCAGACATTATATCCTGTTAAAATAATTGTGGGTGTTTTGTTACAAACCTCCAGTCATGTCCGATCCATAAACTACGGGTCACGTGAACGGATCTCGTCCTTTTAGAGCACAACAGGGTAGGGCTAAATACTAAACCACTGGGAAAGGGAATCCTGTAAAATGCAACCTAATCATGCAATTTAATTATATATTTTTTAAGGGCGGTGGAGAGTGCATGTGTTTAGTTGAATGAACTTTACCCCAACTTCGGCTTTTCACTGAATATTAATATTACAAACAAACGCTGTCGTTGATTGGATTAGGTTGGAGTCTCGGAACGCCCTCCCTGTTCATGTCATAAAATTTCTTAATTACGCAGCTTTTAAGAAATTGTTTTATTGGCAAAAACTAGAGATATAAAAACAGTTTCTAACGGTAATTATGTAATTACGTCGTTTCCATGTTTGGCTTTCACTATACTTAAACGTATATTGTATTTTTTTTTTGTACCATTTGCTATATTTAAATTAACAAAACTGATAATGTTTTACAAGTGTCTATTTTCTATTGTTTTTTTTTTTTTTTGTTTAAAAACATTGCAATTCCAAATAATTAAGGAACTGGCAGTAAGTTTAATGTGTAATCTAAACACGGCATTGAAATGCTATTTTTTGAAGCATCAAAGTTAAAAAATAAAACAATTTATCGCTGAAAAATGGCGATTTTAAAGGTATCATTTCGGTAGGCGCACAGAGGCGACGGCAAGGGCGACCGAGAACGGTCTCTTCACGTCTGAAGACATGCAATTATATGAAACAATTTTCGCACGGCGCGACACTTCCGAGAGACAGATCTCCACGACACTTTAGATCGGTCTCCGGGCAAAGCGTTTGCTGCGTGTCGCACTCAGTCCTCAGTGTCCTCATACATTGCTTGTATTTGGAGGTGATTAGTCGATATTTTATAGAATTGGTAGTTGGAAAGATCTTTCGATCTAGGCAGTGTTGCCAGATAATGGAACAGTATGAGTGAAAAAAAAAAAACACGTAGATCTGAACAGTAAGATTTTAATACAGGGGGAAATAATTATAATTTGCAGTGTAGAAAATAATAAAAAAACAAGTATATAAGAAACGAAAAATAAACATTACCTAAATTAGAAAGTAAACAAAGAATAAAAACAAATAATAAATAACATTTTTTTAATATATACTTAACGTACGGAAACAAGAAAAACCAATGAAAAATAATAGGTACCTACTTCTTTTAGATCAGTTTGAATCAGATAATTCAAAATCGTTGTGTTTGACATGTATGTTCTTTTTAGGATGTTCTATTAATTCTTTGTTTCATTTTAAATAAAAACATAATGATTATCTTGAGGTTTTTTTTTATGGAGCCAACCTACGCTGCTTATACTTCAGCAAATTTACTAGAGAAAATATTTTTTGACCATTTGTTGAAGAATGAGGCAAACTTAATAAATTAAGAACAAAATTTGCTAGAGACAAAAACAGTGGATCTACTTAAAAATAGGTCTGGAAACGCTGATCGTTCCCTCGAATGGTTGTCTACGGGTGTCGCTTCACCGGTCTCCTTGCTTCCCAAATGTGCGGAGCGTAACATTCATGCATCTGTCGTCCTTGGGGTCGCCTCTGTTGTCTCCTGTCTCGCCTACCGAAATGGTACCTTAACTGTGAAAAATTAAAGCAGTCTTGTCCAATCTAAGCAAAGTAAAACGACGTAAAATTAACCATTTTGATAAAAATAACATTACAAAATTATTAATATTTGTGATGATATATACGTGACACGAGTGTCACATCAAAAAGAGTAAAAAAACTTTGAACATGACAAGACTGTTACTATTCATTTTAAGTTTCAAAGATAAAGTAGAACTTAGTAATGACTAATCTGATAATGGGTGGGGTTTTCCGGGCTTTCCTCACATGTACGTCAATTGGTACCATCAGTCATCTATATGTCCCACTGTAGCGCCATGGAAGGGTCATTTCATATCAAATCAACCATAAAAAAGAGTATGACAGACCATCTCACCAATTTTGATAAAATTTGGTAAACTGATTATATGGGTGGAATAAAAAATCCAAAATATTTTTTTTTTTGATCAGTAGTTTTTTTTTTAATTTATTTTCAAAAATCGAAAAATTGACCAATTTTGGTCCAACACAACTTCACAAAAATTAGAATATTTTGAGAAATAATTATCGTGGATCAATAAGATACAGCTCGTTGTAAAGGTAATTCAAACACCTTTTTAACGTTGTGTCACATGCCCTGTTTTATTTATTTATTTATTTTTTTTTTTTTTTAATTTTGAAAAATATTTTTTTTATCAATGCTTTGGCAAAATATTTGCCAAATTTCAAAATGGAGAAATCATGGGTTCAGTATATAAAAAAAAATTAAAAACAATGAGAAAATATGTGAAAACCTAAAATTATGAACATTTTTGGCCTTATTTTTGAAATTTTCTTAAGACTAACTAAATTTTACAAGAAATATACTTATATTATTATGAAAAAATATATACAAATAGTTTTTGGTTTTTAAGTAGACCCTGATAAAAGTTGGCATATGTCGGGAGCGTTAAATTAGTTTTCTTTTTAAGTGTTAGTTAGAATTTAATAGAGCCGTGTGTAGTTATCACGGACATGACTGGTATCTTAATTATCGTTATATCAGGTTCTACCAATATTTCTATTTTCTAAACTAAGTCCCAAAGTTTATCTTCTTCTTTTATCACGTGACCAATATAGTTACAGTACTTACTGCGATGCCTAAAAGTATTTTTATGTCTGCCAATTTGAAAGTGGCATTATTACATGGGACATCTCCTTACATAGGTCCATATTAACTCAATCGGAATTAAATTGCACTGATAAGGCCTAAGGAAGTCTTAATACACTGAAACCGCGCAAATATGTTGAAAGTGGATGTGATACGTTATCTAATACAATGACTGAACCCAATTCTAAACGTGAAAGAGTAGATTGAAAGCAGGTTTCAAATACATTTACATCCATGTCTTTCGTGATTCAAAAACATTGAACTTGTCTTTAACTAACCCGGTATCATTGCCAATAAACGTGGTTATTAAACGGCGTCCATTACACGAAGGTGTTTTCAATCCCGTAGAGAGCCCTTGTAAGAAAGCATTTCTATGATTTTTGATATCTAAATCTTGCCATGGGTTTGTAACAGTGTTCTCTTGATTAACCCAGGTTTCGTTGCGATATCCAAAAATTTTTTTTAAATATTTTCTAGACTAAACAGTGATTTCATCTTTTTCCAATAGGACACTATTACGGTTTTTCTTACAATAAAGAACATTTTGGGAAATATTCGTTGCACAAAACTAGTTTTGTTCATTTTTTTCAGGCCTTGCTCAAATTTGAGTATTGAATGTATCCTATACATTATGAAAAAATTACATTAAATAAACTTTAGTCAGTCCATTTTATATTATGAAAAATAATCCCATAAAGATGAACTCATTGCTTTGTTCGTCGAGCCTGACGGTGACAGATGAGCATGTGCATTTCCGTTTTAAACGTCCATAGAGCCGAAAATCGAACGCTTAAAATCGAAATGCGCATGCTCATCTGTCGTGGACATGTCACTGACAGGCTCCGCGAACAAAGCTATTGTGGTGTACCAATTTAATTATCTGTCTTAAAATGTAAACATATTAATATAAAGTAAAAATAATGGATATTATTAGAGTAATAACATTTATAACAAAACAATTTTGGTAGGTATGAAAAAGCGAAAAAATTAATATTAATAATAAAATCTACAGAAAACTGTTGACACTAAAATAATAAAAATCTGTAAATGTTTGTTATGCCGGACCTGTACGAAACCGTCCGAGAAATGTTATGGGAACGACATCGTGAGGATACAGAAACAGAAAACGTGACATTCAAATGATCCTTTCATCACGTAAAAAATAGTTCGGACAGAGATTAACTACTGTGTTCGGTTTATGTATAAAAATAAAAATACCAAAAGACTTCGTTTGATAAAATTTAATTGCATAGTTGAATTATTATCGCCGCTATGTTTATAAGAATATTATATCCCTGGTGAAAACTGGGGCAGAGTGGTATTACGTTAATTTGCATATTAAATATTATTTATGACGCAGAAAAGTATTCCAATTCAATAAAATGACTTTTCAGGGAAATTCCAAAAATAAAATTTAAAAACAGTTTATTTATCAG